CAACATGGTATGCAGGACACGATCTGGTCTCTGATGTGGAAAAACGACGCAGGTGAAGACAATCCAGTCAACAACTACATTTCCTCCAATATGTCTTTGACAAAACAAATACATAAACCTGCACTATTTTGTAGGAGACTGAAAGAAATATATATAGTCATAAAAAATTTAAATAAGTTATTTTCATGTACATGCTACAGTAAATCGTGGCCATATTCTGACATAAGAACACCACTGGCACCTCAACCGTAGCATTGTGCTTGATATCAGTTCAGAACATAGCTGCATGTGCCCCAATGCTGATTTTAGGGGAAAGAGAACTTCAGGCACAGGGAAAATAATCTCTAGACTAACATTAGCTTTTTTTTTTTAATCTCACATCTAACTGCTTTGTAATCAAGAGTACAAATCGACCGTGGACCCTCTGCAATTAATAAAAAAATCTTTGAGTAGAACAAGAGTCAGTGAAACAGTAGACACTTTCAAAACACAGGCTGAAAGGGTGACAAGGGGAAGAGATGAAAAAAGTAGAGTGTAAGAAGAGAAAGAAAGAAAACAAATAATGCTACAGACTTGCAACTAAGATCAAACTGTAGCTGAAACTCTGCTGATACAGCAGAGTTTTAATTAGTCTGATATATCTTTAACACTTGTTGCACTAGATCCTGAAGAAAATCACCATTACTGATACAATTTATAGTTTATTTTTTGAATAACTTTTAAAACTAATTATGTGATTCCCAATGCTAGGGGTAGATTTTCATGGTCACTTTCATGGTTATGAAGGTCAAATTATCATGGGAATGTCTTTAGGTGGAATGGCATTATGGGATGCCTTGGAGGAGGAGGTTTGTGCTCTGCAGTTGCTGTCTAGTTTCACATGTAAGGTGCTGATGTACAGAGCAAAACTGCACAAATGTGCACTAACCAAATAACTATGGACTACAGCATACATATCGTCGTAAAGTTCTTAAAGAACTCAAGTTGTTGATTCAGGTGTGAATGTCCTTGTGATTCATCAGTACATCAAATACAGAGTGTAATAAGGTGAGTAGATGGTGTTTCTGTGGTTTGATATTCTTTGAATGTGCCATGGAGAAAATCAGGACATCTTTCCATGCACTAGTGCCACTGAAACACTTCAAGATTACATCTCTTACAGCTAATTAAATAAATCTGGTCCGGAGGCAGACCAGAGCATTTGCCAGACTTACTTTCATTTGTTAACCGCACTGCACCAGCAACTTCAGTGATCCAGAGGGCTTTAAGACAGAGTCTTTTGTTTCAGTGACTTCAAAATGTCTTTAGAATGAAAAATAGCAGAGTCTGGAATGATTCAATTATCAGATTAGGTGATTTTTTTTTAGTAAGAGACCAAAAGTGGGATAAGTAGTTTAGAAGATGGGAGTGAGAGCAAAACAACCTTCATTGCAAAACAAAACAGTCACCAATCTCATGAAAATGACCAAGATTTACATAATTGTGGAGTAAGGAAGTCAGCTTATGTACATCACTGGCCAACAAGGCTCAAACACGCCTCTACTTCCTCTGCAAACTGAGGAAAGCTAGTGTCCCACCACCATCATGCACTCTTTCTACCAGGGCACCATTGAGAGCTTCATCACTGGCTGCATCACTGTGTGGTACATTTACACCTGCCTCACCCATGGAGCCATCAGCATTGCTGATGACACCTCCCACTCCCACTTCAAACTCCTGCCTTCAGGGAAAAGGTATTGGAGTTTTCAGGCCACCAGACTTGCAACCAGCTTCGTCCACCAGGCTGTGAGGATGCTGAATGCTGTCCATTATCTCCCCCCTCTGCCCCTGGACTGTAACCCACCACAGAACATAAATACTACTCTGCTGTTTTGCACAATCTCAATACATTCCCCCTTTGTTATATTATATGAAAATCTGCTGATGACCGTTTTTTACCGTCATATCTGCCGATGTTGGTCATTTGCACTACTGTCCATGTACACTTCATAAGATATTATGCATCTCATCACCAACACCCCTGGTGATGCTGACCACCCGACAATCTTATTTGCACTACTGTCACTGATTGTACATAGGTTGGAGTCATAGCCTATTAGGATGTACTGTTTAGTTTTATTCTAATTATTTAGTTTTGTTATTCTATTTTAGTTTCTTCAGTGGTATGGGCATTCAATATTAGGTGGCAGAGAAACAGTATTTCTGTATGTCCTGCACATGTAGTGAATTGACAATAAAAATCTTTGAACCTTGAACCTTTACTTGACCAATGTGGCTTGAGAACTACAGTATGTTTAATTAACTGTGTTTTATCAATATCAGATTAAAAATTCTTTTAACTGTTTTTGATGGATAAAATTCATTAGGATTTTAACAAGTTGGAAAGGCTTTAACCAAGAGTAACTGATTAAAATGCCCTGCAGATGAGCAATAGAAAATTAGACTTTCTTAAAGCAAGATTAGGGAGACTTGGGTGGTGACCATACTGTTCATGGACTGATGAGGAAAATAAATCCAAAGAGGACAAATGCATATGGTGAGGTAGGTAGAACAGGCATACAGTCATGAAACAGATGGATAACCAGACATGATAAAAAAAAAAAAAAAAAAAACTAAAAATGTTGGAGGGATATGAAAAACAATATTTGAAAATAGAAAATTTTGCTGAAATAAAATAATCATTAGCAAGTGTTTGTCAGGATCGGAGCATGAAGCTGCCGATAATGTCGTGGGTGAACTCAATTAAATAGCCAGACGAGGATAAGTAAAGAAACACTGTCTCTTTAATAAGAGCACTGACAACGAACAAAAATTGATACAAGACACGATTTAAACATGAAACGCACTTACAGGTCAATAATATAGTCCAGGGTCAGAACCAGCACACGCATGCATCCAAGGAATCCAAAACGCGATGTCCAAAAGGGAAGTCCATAAGCCGATATATAGAGAAGCAGTCCGAGTTAGAAGGGCAAGGCAATACACGGTGGTCAAAACAGAAATCCAGGGTCAGAAACTAATAAGTCAGGCAAGAATTAATGCTGGAGAGTCAGAGCTGGAGTCCAGAACAATCTGGCAGGTTACTGGTGGGAGAAGGCTGCTTATAATGTGGTGAAAACAGGTGCAAACAATTAGGGGCAGGTGAAAACAATAAGTGCTGAGTAAAGTAAAAATTCAGAAACTGTGGTGAAACAAAAACAGGAAGCAATGTCAAACTAAACTAAGCACGAGAACAAAAACAGTGAGAACAATCGTGACAGTGTTATCTAATTCCAGTTTGTTATAAACTGGGTGTTGCTTATATTTCATTTTTATCAGTTGGAATAACACTGAGATATGGGAACAGTGACATCACTATAACAGTTTGACTAGGCAAGGAGCATGAGCAGTCAGACAATCTGACAGGTTGCAACAGCCTGTTATATTACTACACTGGATGAGTACCAGACCTTACGATTAGGTTGTCCACTGTCAAAGGTCTTGTTTGGCAATAAGGTCAGACTATACACACAGTTATCTAAACCACTTTATTTTTATCTTTATCCACTTTAACATAACATTTTTGGGTGGATTTCTAGAGTGTTTGTTCTGTCTCTTGTCCTCCAAATGTTCTCCAGTTGTTTGTTGCCTATACCAGTTCTTTCAGGGTGCCAAATTGTGCCAAGCAGAGGCCAGCCTGCCCTCACTACAACCCAAATTGATTTCCCTTGCCATCTCTCACCCCATGTACCTGGTGGCGGATGTTTTTTAAATGTCAGCCAGCAGAGGAAAAACAATGCAATTAACCTCGAGAAGGGTAAAAAAACATGTTAGTGCCTTAGCTGGAACAGAAAGGTGCAAGACCTCCTACACTGTTCACTCAGGCTGCCTTCTGGGATCAATAGGTCTCCTTGTCCTGCTGGAAGAGCTGGTCCGTGAAGAACCTGCCACAGTTACAGGGGTGGATGTTTCTTTGCTCTTTTGATTACAGGATGATGATTGAGACTAAGGTCTCTAGGTGCAACACAAAGTAACTCAAATGCAGATCACTGGAGCTGAGTAATGACTGCTTGAGTATTGAGCTCAATAAAAAGCAGCTTCTAGCCACATAATAAAACAATGAATAAAACCTCTTACTGTGTGGCGGGGGGCCATGGTCTACGGGTTTTAATTGAGGACTGGATGTTACTGTGTCCTTTCCAAGTCACTGAAACAGCCCAGGGCTGAACCAAGGCTGGGATTCACCTGAGACATTTTATATATTGTTTGGAACCTTTTTAAAGTGCTGAACAACCTTTGTAGCTGCTCTGCTGTGTTCTGGGAGATAATGCATTCTACCTGGAATATAATTTCCATTCACCTTGGGCTACTATGAAATGCTCTGTAATTATGTCATTTTTTGATGTACAATTACCAAGTATGCAACATAAAAACAAAATATTTATCACTAGGGTGATAGAGGATTAATCTTGTTATAGGGTAGAGTATGTTGCAGGCTGTAGTCTGAAATGTTAAAAGCCTGTCTGAAGGTCTGCATAGGCCTGACAAGGTTAAAATAAGCCTAAGAAGTGCTTCCAGCAACCTAAAAGAGGGACTGTGCCAATGATCCCACCTTCAGTTTGTTTATTTAAAAAATACTGTAGTTTAACTTCACACTGACTTCACAGGGTAACCAGACGTTTTAGGGAACAGTTAACATTTTGGGTTGTTAGGTCTGTTCATACACAGAAATGTAAAAATGACAATTTGTGGCTTTACAGAGAGTTAACTGAACAACAGGTGGGTGCAGTCACTGAGTGCAACTTCCCAGAACCTTATCATCACAGTGAGGTTACCAGATTTGGTACCAGTGTGCCAGCATACTGTTGTGCTAACCAGCTGTATCCAGCAACCTTTGCCATAGTTGTACACAGAAATGCTGGCCAGATGGATAAACTGTTAATCTATTAAAACAGTTAAACTGTAATCTCTCTGGGCTTAGATTTGTGACTAAAACCTGAAACCTATTTGGATGTTTAGAAAACAAAATACAAATAATTATACATACTGACTAATGCATGACTATGTCCATTACTGTATTCCTGTGTGCTTCATTTGGGGGTCATGTGAACATCACTGAAACAGAATGCTCTGGAGCCATGGAGGCCTGGCCATATTTTCTTTCAGGTTAACAGGTTTAAAGATGCTGAGATGATTTACTATTGATTATTAAACTGACAGTTTGACACTCTGAAAGAACCAAAGCCTCACTCTGCTGCATCCTGTCTATCCCTCTTTTAATCAGGCCTCAGAGATGCTTTCAGTGATGTCATCGGTTTATCACATTGTTCAAATGGTGCTTTAAAAAATAAAGCAGACCGGTTAGACTGAAATCAGAAATGAAAACTGTTCATTCTTTGCAGAATGACCTGTTTGGTCTCCCCAAACAAGCTACCTCCCCAATTCAAGGGAAACATTAGTTCATCCCCGACATGCTCAGGCCAAGAGAAATGCTCTTCTGAAACCAAAGTACCTGTTCTCGTTTTCGTTCCTGTCAGGGACAGATGAGCCATTTCAGCGTTGGGGAGAGACAGTGACAAGATGTGAGGAAAGAAGTGAAAGCAAGAGAGAGGAAACGCACAAAAAAAAGAGGAAGGAGGACAGAGGAGCTCCACATGATACATGCATGTAAACCTTTGCACGCACACTGGCACACATCTGGCTGGACTTGCTACATTAGCACCAGGAATGGAGTCTGGGTTAGACTCAGAGTAAAACAAAGACCTTGTAAGAGGTAGCTGGATATTAATATTAGGGTTCATTAAAAAAAAACAAAACATGATCTCACACACTGGAGATAAATGAATTACACCGTATTAAGCACAACAGCACAGCACAACTCGTGATTATAAATGCTGATCGTACCTCTTTGGAAATTACACTGCACATTCATATAGAGCCATTTGAATTTTAACGCCATGCCCCCACTCAGAACATTACGCTGGCCTGAAAGGCCTGGGTCTGAGCTGGTTCACTTCTTTTCTGACCAACAGGACTTTCTCTGTCACAATTGGGGAGTTTTCTTCTACTGTGGCACCCCTTACCTCAGGGGTCCCTCAAGGCTCGATTTTGGCTCCACTACTCTTTTCTTTGTATATGTTACCACTTGGCTCAATTATATTATGCATAATGTGCATTTACATTTTTATGCAGACAATGTCCAGATTTATTTGCCTCTGATTCAATGTGACTCCAGTGCTGTCACTCCCCTTCACAACTGTATTTCCGATGTCAAACACTGGCTCGCACAAAACTTTCTTCACTTAAATGAGAGCAAGACTGAGTACATCGCTTTCACTCCAGATTTGGCCACCCTGATACCCAAACTAGGTCCCTTGGCCCCTTCAGTCACTGATACTGTTAAAAACCTCGGAGTAATATTTGACAGCAGTTTTAACTTTGATAAACAGATCTGCTCCATGGTCAAAACTAGCTTCTTTCATTTGAGGATGCTAGCAAAAGTGAAGCCCTTCTTATCTCATGCAAAGTTAGAAAAAGCTATTCATGCTTTTATTACATCCAGACTTGACTACTGCAATGCCCTTTATGTCGGTAGCTCGCAATCTCTCATTCGGAAGCTACAACTTGTACAGAATACTGCGGCTCGGCTTCTGTCAAGTACTCCTAGACATGCTCACATCACTCCTGTTCTCTCCTCGTTACATTGGCTGCCAGTGAAATTTAGAGTCGATTTTAAAGTACTCTTAATTGTTTTTAAGTCTATGAATGGCGGAGCTTGTGTCTGTCTACTCTCCCCACAGAGCCTTGTGCTCTGTAGACCACTTATCCCTAGTCACCCCCCGCTCTTGCCACAAAAAATGGGGTGATCGCTCTTGTAGCAGCTATGGCCCTAGGCTTTGGAGCTCGTTACCTCCAGGAATACAGTCCATAACTGAGTTGGCCCCTTTTAAGGTAACTCTAAAAACTTACCTTTTTAGACGGGCTTTTGATAACTAAGCCAGTTTTTTTTAGGGGTACCTTCTTTTGCTGTTTTATCATCCACCTTTTCTGTATGTTATTTCTTGTTCTTAAGGTTTACTATGGTATGCGTGTTTATTGTGAAGCACTTTGTGCTCCTCTTTTGAGCTGTAAAGTGCTATATAAATAAAGTATTATTATTATGCAGTGTCAATTAAAGACTACATTTTCACACATTTAGCAAAAGCATTTTACATCAGAGCAGAGGTCCACATTCATAAGATGCAGGATGAATGTACATTCGCTGGTGATTTATATACATGGCATAGATGGTCCAAACATTCTAAAGGTCATTGGTGCAAGCCTGCCCTCCATGGAGGACCTGTACACCTCACGGGTCAAAAGGAGGGCGGAGAGGATTACTGCAGACCCCTCACACCCTGGACACAATCTGTTTGAACTCCTCCCCTCTGGATGGCGTTACAGGTTACTGTGCACCAAGACAACCAGGCACAAGGACAGTTTCTTCCCCCGGACTGTCACTCTGATGAACACTGGACCCACGACAGTATGACTGGACAATAACCCTCAGTGCAATACCTGTAAATATACATTGTACAGATTATACAGATCCGTACAGGTCTCTAATTTTAAGTACTCTATTTTTATTCCTACTTATCCCATTTCACAATGAGCATTCCTTGTCTGTCTGCATTGTTTACTGCCTGTCTATACTGCTTATTTTGCATTGTTTGTTGCTTGTTAATGCTACTTATTTTGTTATATTACACAGCCTTATGCTGGTTTTACTGTTTAGCCGTCCCTGGTAGGCTAGTGGTTAAGGCGCAGCGCTCTCAGCGGCCCAGGTTCGAGTCAGGGTTGTATCCAGAAGGGCATCTGGCATAAAACACGTGCCAAATGTCAACATGCGAGTCGTCAGTTTAACGATTCGCTGTGGCGACCCCTAAACTGGAAAAGCCGAAAGCGACTTTCTTATGCTGGTTTACTTGCCCCTTGCCCAGGTCTCTATTTTTAAGTACTCTATTTTTATTCCTTTTAATCCTATTATCTCATTTCAATGAGCATTCCTTTATCTGTTCAGTCAAATGGAAATCCACAGAGACTGGGAGAAGTGCCGGTGGTTTTGCCAGGGGAGGTGGAGAGGTACTGTTGGCTCAAATGCTGGTGTGGACAGGTGTGCTCAGCGGGAGTGTAGGAGAGAAGACATATACATAAGCATTGTTTACTGTGTGTTTATACTGCTTATTTTGCATTGTTTGCACTGTTTGTTGCTTGTAAATACTACTTATTTTGTTATATTACACAGCCTTATGCTGATTTACTGTTTACTTGCCCCTTGCATGGGGATACAGTATGTACATACACATTGAGAGCTGATGTACCAGAGTCAAATTCCTCGTTTGTCCGACACACCTGGCCAATAAAGCAGATTCTGATTCTGATTCTAAATGACAAGATCCTTGCTGTTACTATACTGTGTGTTTATTAATGTGTACTGTAGGTATTTGCAGTATACTGCTTTCTTTTCAGAAGATTCCAAGGTCCGTAATAAGATTCACTGGCCTTTTCTCATTCTAAAGTGTCAATAAAAGGCAAAAGTCACCCTCACAGCTGAAGTAGAACATGTACATCTAAGATTTAGAAAGCAGGTTAAGTGCAGCATGGTTTAGGTTTAGTCAAAGTGGACAGATCAAACGATTAATTCTCCATTAAGAAAGAGAGATCAGTAGGACCTGGAAGGAGCAAAAGACACATCACTTAACACATTCTACAGCACATCCTAACATTATTCAAATATGGCATACTGAAAATGTTCAGTTATTTGTATTAGTCCAGTGCACAACACAGCCTATGCCTTCTTCACATTTGGAGAAATTTCAGAACAAACATGGTCATGTGAACAGGGGATAGTAGGATGCCATTGTGCCTCCTTTGCTTGAGATACAGTACAAAACTTATCTGTGTGAACACTAAGAGTCACAACCACAGAAATTCCAGAAGGTTCCTCCTTCACTTTTCACTGACAAAAAGCAAAACTGGGTTCAAAAGGTACTTAAGATGTTGGATGATGTTATTTCAGAGATGTCAAAATACTGGACGTTTTTAGTGATCACTCAACACAGGGGTTATCACTGGAATTTGTCTCTTTTGTTAGACCACTATAAAATTGTCTAGTCTGCAGGTCAGACAAGCTATTTGTCAATTAAGGCTAACAGTAGTTCCTGGGCAGATATGTCATGCTTTTTATATCATATATTATATCCACCAAGTTTCTAATGAGCTTGATCTGGATGGTGGTTTCTCCTGTTTTCAGTACAGGCAATGAGCAAATGAACCATCTGTTTAATTATACTTACTGGTAATCAAAGGATCCATCTTGGTCTTTATGGTCCACTGCGTCTAAGGGAAGATCTTTTTTGTCACGCACTGTGGAGAGAGGAACAAAAGAGGTGTCATGGTTAGATTTAATATATAAAACCAACCACATGTTGAGGGGTTCCTGAAGTTAATTTGAACATATACTGTTATTTAGTTCCATATATTTGCCTTCAGCCTTCATTTATTAAACTGTTAACTAACACTGTATCCCAGTTGCATACATATAATTTGTGTACAAGAAATGCGTGTACCATTTTGAACTAGATGCTTGCTTAACGACATCAATTCAATTGCTGCCAAATTAAAAATTTTAAACTTCGAAAATACAAAGTAAAAATGTAATTCCATTTCTTTAATTCTTTCTTTATTTTTACTGCTTTTTGGGCTGAGAGAGTAATTCATGTGTTTTTTAGTATGCATTTGGAACACAGTGCATTTTTTAAGAGATTTAGAAGCCTGATTTTGTAGTAGCTGTATAAGACTGAATTTGGTTTTAATGGTGTGTCAGTACCTCAGTTAGTACCGAGAACATGTTTTACTCCCAGTGTATGTGTATAAACTCATCTCGTTAGTCCTTTGTTAGATCTTTCTGTCAGTGTTCTGTTATAATCGGTATTTGACTTAATTCATCAGTGGTTGTTAGTTTTTAACTTTACACGGCATCACAGTTCAGCACCTACCTAGACACTTTGCAAAACCAGTCACATGACCACCACCTAGACATTATGCAAACTGTAAAACATTAACACAACTCTAATATCTGTTTTACTAAATCACTGTAATTATGATATAGAGTATAGACCAGCATTTACAGCTTTTGTTTTCTTTTGCTTGTCTTTTCTTTTCTCTCTCCTCTATCCACTCACCCCAACCAGTCGAGGCAGAAGGTTGCCCACAAAGAGCCGGGGTCTGTCGGAGGTTTCTTATATTAAAGGGAGTTTTCCTCCACATTGTCGTCAAGTGCTGTTTAAGAGGGATTTGTTGTGCGTTTCCTCTATAATAGTAAGGTCTAGACCTTACTTTGTAAAGTGTCCTGAGATGACTTTTGTTGTGATTTGGTGCTATACAAATAAAATTGAATTGAATTGAGTATCAATTAAGACTACGCATTTTTTTCTTAGCATGAAAAATACTGTTGTGTTTAAGTACTGAGACTGGTATTAGATAAAATAAAAAAGAAAATATTCAACAAATACATTGCATAGACTCTGATCTACGAAATACATCATCATGCATCATATAGCTACATCTTGACCTGGTCAACAGCAACCAATTGGAGACTGTCCTCCTGTTGAAAACAACTCAATAGGTCATTTGTGCCAGCAGGTTATTATGTCCAACAGTCATGCATTATACTTTGGGAACCTCTAGGGGCTGTAGCAATTATGACATGAGCAAAGGAGTATATTAGGTGATGTAGTATACAGAGGCACAAAGTTACTTTTAGGAGGAGTCTGGGATGGATGGATGGATATGTACACAAAACACAGGACTCTCCCCCAGGTGAGTGGTGTGTGTTTTGCAAGTAGTTTTTGTTGCTAAACCTAACCAAAACATGAAATGTGATGGTTTTATAATTGTAATGACATGTTTATGACAAGGCTAGGTTGTGCTATGTTTGCTGTCATGTTTGTTTTCCATTACAAGAAAGTCTGTGAAGCTTGCCAGTGCAATGTACATAAATGTTGACAAAGTTCTTGCAGTTCCACCTGGTAATGTAGTGGTGCTGTAGTGCTGCTGTATGAGAGGGAAGAGAAATGACCTACATGGATTGTATAGAGAGCTGAAGTGAAACCCGAACATTCAGGTTGTGTTCCAGAAGAAAGAAAACCCTATTCAAAATCTCACCAAAATTTCTAATCTGGCTAATAACTAAAAATCCAGCCCTTGCAACACAATCATTTTCAGTGGTATGTTGTGAATTTCACTATATTTGCTAATACTATAATTATATATTTCTATAAAAGATGTATTATAGACATTAACATAATATTTCAGTTTTTACTGGGCTTTAATGAAGAACATTTCCCTGAAGCCTGAGCTGGTTGAGATTTACAGTGCCTTGCAAAAGTATTTATATCCCTTGAACTTTTCCACATTTTGTTGGGTTACAACCACAAACTTAAATGTCTTTTATTGGGATTTTATGTGATAGACCAACACAAAGTATTGCATAATTGTGAAGTGGAAGGAAAATGATACGTGGTGTTCAAGATTTTTTACAAATAAAAATCTGAAAAGTGTGACGTGCATATGTATTCAGTCCCCTTTACTCTCATATCCCTAAATAAAATCCAGTGCAACCAACTGCCTTCAGAAGTCACCTAATTAGTAAATAGAGTCCATCTGTGTGTATGTCAATCTCAGTATAAATACAGCTGTTCTGTGAAGGCCTCAGAGTTTTGTGTCAGGTCCGCTCGGCGTGACCTGCCTCTACTGTTCAATATATCATCCGAAAATAGAAAGTGTATGGCGCAACTGCAAACCTACCAAGACATGACCATCCACCTAAACTTACAGGCCGAACAAGGAGAGCATTAATCAGAGAAGCAACATAGAGGCCCATGGTAACTCTGGAGGAGCTGCAGAGATCCACGGCTCAGGTGGGAAAATCTGCCGACAGGACAACTATTAGTCGTGTACTCCACAAATCTGGCTTTTATGGAAGAGTGGCAAGAAGAAAGAAAGCAATAAGAAGTCCCATTTGTAGCCATGTAGAGGACACAGCAAACATTGAGTCAATACTCTGTTGAACCACCTTTCGTTGCAATTACAGCTGCAAGTCTTTTGGGGTATGTTTCTACCAGCTTTGCACACCTAGAGACTGCAATTTTTGCCCATTGTTCTTTGCAAAATATCTCCAGTTCAGTCAAATTGGATGGCAAGCATCTGTGAATAGCAATTTTCTAGTCTTGACACAGATTCTCAGTTGGATTTAGGTCTGGACTTTGACTGGGCAATTCTAACACATGAATATGCGTTGATCTAAACCATTCCATTGTAGCTCTGGCTGTATGTTTTGGGTCACCAAAGGGTGCCTCAGCTGTGTCGCATTCGGTAATCAGTGACTTGTTGGTTAGCGCACAGCTGCGGTGCATTCCTGTGATTACCTGTTTCCGAGGGTGTGCTGAGCAGCAGGGTCAATGCAGCTCTGATGGAGGACGCACAGGCAGGGGCCGAGATGATGCCAACCCCTCGAGAGCTGGAAGGAGGACGTCGTCTGTGGCAAACCCCTCTGGAGCTGGAAGCGGAAAAGAGGCGCTGTCGGCAAATCCCTCGGGAGCTGAAAGTGGAAAAGAGGTGGCGTCGGTGAATCCCTTGGGAGCTGGAAGTGGGAAAGAGGCGGCGTCGGCAAACCTCTCGGGAGCTGGAAGCGGAAAAGAAGCGTCGTAGGCAAACCCCTTGGGAGCTAGGAGCGAAAAAGAGGCGTCGTCGGTGAACCCTTTGGGAACTGGAAGCAGGGTGTTGTCATCGACCCACTCCAAAACAGGAACAGGAGAAGAGGCGGCATTGGCACCAGCTGACCCACTGGAAGACAGGAAACTGCACCTGGAGGTCTGGCTGAGACGAGGGCTGCTGCAGCCGGGAAACTGGTTGTGGAGGGAGCCCATTCCCGGTGCCCCGGCGGGGACCCGGCTGTGGAGGTGGCCGTTGCCCGGGGAGCCGGCTGTGGAGATGGCCGTTCCTCCAGGACCACCTGGGCAGAGGGCCAACCGCATACCAGCAAAGGGTGAGGAGTAAAAACAGGTGGAGACTGGAGTGGGCTCGTGGACTGGAGACAGGAAAAAGGCACCCAGCCACATGGAGGGAAAAACAGTGTGAGCAGGTGAGGGCTTGGGCGCTGCCTCAGGGAGAAAAGAAAAGGGGGAAAACATCTGTGCTTTTAGCTGCCGGTAAATGTCCTGGGCTTCTGTTGGCCTAAGGTAGGTTGCGGAAGTCTGTGACTGGGGCTGTTACAGTCTGTAGCTGGTGAATGGGGGTGAGGGATGACTAGCACCTGAGCTTGCTGAGTCCATGTTTGGCTGGAGCATTCTGTTATGGTTACGTCCCCCTGACCAGGGGGTGAGGGAGAACTGAGGTAGGACTCAAGATGCAGCCCCAGGTGCTAGTGGAAAAATGGAGGTTTAATGGAGAACACAAAGTAACTGAGTCAACGTATAGTGCAAAAACAGGGTAGGGCAGTGATGGCTGAGAAGGTGAGTAGACAAAATAATGGCAGGAACCAGGAGAGTCGGGGGACCAAGACGGACAGGTGAAGCAGACAATAACCAGGTGGACTAGCTAACGCTGTTAGGGAAACAGTAGCGAATGAAAAGGAAAAAAATAATCAACCGCACAGGGACTGTCAGCGTTGAAAATTAAATCGTGTAACGACTGCATACACGCATTTACTTACATGTAATCATCATCAATGCTCCGGCGACAACGGTGGGTCTGCCAGAGGTTTGAATAAGGAAACAGGTAATCACAGGAATGTGCCTCAGCTGTGCGCTAACCAACAAGTCACTGATTACCGAATGCGACACAGCTGAGGCGCCGATCCCACAGGACGAGAGGGCAAGAGAGAAAAAGGAGGAGGAGAGGCAGGTCACGCCGAGCGGACCTGACACAAAACTCTGAGGCCTTCACAGAACAGCTGTATTTATACTGAGATTGACATACACACAGATGGACTCTATTTACTAATTAGGTGACTTCTGAAGGCAGTTGGTTGCACTGGATTTTATTTAGGGATATGAGAGTAAAGGGGACTGAATACATATGCACGTCACACTTTTCAGATTTTTATTTGTAAAAAAATCTTGAACACCACATATCATTTTCTTTCCACTTCACAATGCGATACTTTGTGTTGGTCTATCACATAAAATCCCAATAAAAGACATTTAAGTTTGTGGTTGTAACCCGACAAAATGCGGAAAAGTTCAAGGGGTATGAATACTTTTGCAAGGTACTGTAAACGTCACCAGCAGATCCTGGTAGACTGGTGAGACAACTGAACTGAGGTCCCAAATCAACAGATGGCTGTAACTATTACACATCTTCTT